AAGCCCTGAATTTCTGCACCAATATGTGCAACCTTCACTAACCTGCGAATTTATTAAGATTTATTTAGAATTTCGTAGTATAATGGCAGGCATACTTGCTCCACAGTAAGTGGAACGACAGTTTTATCCCTAGTTATTCTTCACTCTCTACACCATAAAAGTCACTGAAAATGCATAAACTGCCTTCTTTTTTTTATAAGTTTTCGTTTTGCTTATGACTACAAGTGCACGCATACATACGATGCAATAAGGTTTTGTGATGCATATCCTCGGAGCATATAGAAAGTATTTGTCGTAAATTATATGTACTGCTATGAGCAACCAAAAACACGCTGTAAGAATAAATGACAAGTAGCGCTACTCTTGAAAAATAGAACTCTCTCCTGTCCACTGTTGTTAATGTTGGGTTCACTCTGTCTTAACTTGTTCTTGTCTCTCTGTATAATGTACGTGAAATATGCTTCCGTGTGACAATGACTTTGGCTTAAAAAAAGAGTTATTTCATGTTTTTGAAGTTTTTTAAATAATTTCACTTTTTGAAAAACGAAGCATTCCCGTTTCAACGATCAAACGGGTAACCGAACGGGCAAAAATTTTCTACAGAAAAAATCTTAGTCTTTACAAGGAGGTCTAAAAAAATTCCAGACGCGAAAAAAAAAAAAAAAAAAAAAAAAAGAGGAAAAATTTGATGTTTGTAAATTTAAATGAAAAGTGACCCTAGGACTACAGAACTCGTAATTCTTATTCAGCTTTTCGGGTTTTCCCAGTCTGGGAAAATTTTAAAAGACCCAAAAAAATCGCTACCCCAGACGTTACGAATTATACTAAAATTACTTCTCACAACAATGTTTACAGGCCTGTAGCCATACTGATTTTGTATCTTGAACAAAGCTCAAAAAAAGCGAAAAATACAAAAACCAAAAATGAAAATTTTATGAGATAATTGAAGAGAAATTTTTTCCAAATTTACAAAAAAAGTAATGTAACACTTAAAAACCCATTTAAAAAAATCCCATTCTAACTCTAAGAATCTAATAACCGGGAAAAAAGTCCCCTTGTGAATTAAAACTTCCCCCCCCCATCCCTAACTTTGAAGTAAAAAAACCAAATTTAATTTTCTACGGTTAAAAAAACTATATATAACCTCCCACTTTTTAAAAAACTATCACAAACCTTAAAAAATAAAAAAATAAACTATTAAAAAAAAAAATAAACAATTCAACCCAAAACTTTTCCACAAAAAAAACAACCCCCCCCAACCACAAAACCCAAACCCCCCCCAAAACCAACCCCCCCCCCCATAAAAAAAAAAAAAAAAAAAAAAAAAAAAAAAAAAAAAAAACCCCCCCCCAAAAAAAAAAAAAAAAAATACCAAACCCCCCCCAAAGCATCCCACTGCCCCAAGATTCTCGCTTTCCCCAAACAAGTGTTGGTCGTCGTCAACCCAAAACATTGTCAACGTTGCAGGATTCAATTTTTTTTAAGCCTCTCCCAGAGTCATCCTATTGCCAGGCACTTTAGTTGTACGGGGTCATTTTTTAGTTGGGGTAAGATATTTGTTGTCCTTAGCCAAGCGGTAAAATTCATCTAAATAGTTTCTTTCCTAAATTTTTCCCCAATTTTCCATTTCATTGTTTTTTACAAATTCTTTCTCTCTGTCTGGTTTTTTCTCTCTTTTCCCCTCTCTTTTCCTCTTCTTTATTTGTAATTTCTTCACCCATTTTCCAGTTATTATTTATTCAAGGGGTGCTAAACCGTAGGGTCAGTGTCGGGGAAGGGGAATCAATAAAAATAAACCCCGGGAAAGGGAAAAACCCAAAACCCTTTCCCTTAATTAAGATCCCTCACCATTTTATTCAATCAAAACCCAAAGCGCTAAACCAAAAGGGTGATGTCCCTTCCCCAGCACCACGCAACCTTCGTTGAGGGAAAATTTTCCATTCCGGACACTCCCCAAAGTACAGTCAGTCTTATGTTTTGCCCATATTTTCTCTCTCATTTTCCTCGCCTTTCTTTTTATTGGTGACTGGACAACAAGCCCCCAGGGGGTGATGAGGTCAATATGGCAAAACGATGCTATTTAATGAGTTTACTCTGTTACTGTCTTTCTGCCCGTCTTGTATTTCATTAAAATTTTAAATCTTGTATGCTTCTGCTTTAATTTTTTTTGGGCCTTTTTTTTTTATTTTTACAAAGATGGAGGGGATTGTTAAAATATCAACAAGAGGGAAAAAAGGGGGCCCCCAAATGCAGTATAATGCGATCCTTTTTTGACGAAGTTTCCCACACGTCGGATTTTCAAGACGCAAAAGATGTTTTTGTGATTTGAAAACTGCAGATAGGGCAACGTTGTTAATGAACAATGTTTTATTTGTACGGCATATTTACCATGCTGGGGCCTTTTTTTCTGCTTTTCAAAGTTGTATAAGTTCCCCCCTACTTTAAATGTCGGGGGGGAAGGGGGAAATGTACGGGTTTTTATGGTACGTTACGATGGATGCAGGGATTGTGGTAAGAATTTCCTTGTAAAATCTTCTTGAATGGTGTTATGGATTGAGTAGCAATGTTTTTGTGGTTTTATTGGGTTTTTTAAAGCATTCCCCTTATAGGGTCTTAGGGTGTATGCAGTACACCAGAGAAAGTATGCTTTTCTCTTTTTTTAGGAATTAAAACAGATTTATTGTATATACATTATGATATACAGTGCCCCAGAAAGTGACAGCCTGATTGATCAGGCTCTGATCCCCCGGGAGGCCTGGTATAGACCGGGGCGGGGGGCGCTGATCTCCGGCCCCTCGGGAAAATCCGGTGTATGAACTTTACTTTGTTGGTTTGGGTTTATGGAGTTTAAAATAGGGGTTGATAAATAGAGTCTTTTAGACGCATTGAACTTTTTCTCACCAGTTCGCTTAAAATTTCCCCCATTTTGAGATTAAAGCGAACGCTTAGTTTCATAACCACAGTGGAGCAGGTTCTGCGTTTCCTGTTGTATTGTAAGGGTTTGTGAGAATTGTCTCTATCTTGTCTGTTGTTGGCAGGCTTGTGAAAATATGTAGTTGTCATGTCATTCTAACGTGTATTTTATTTTGATTTTTTTTACTTAAAAGGTAAACGTAAAAACAACGAAAGGGGAATAAAATATGCAAAGGGGTTTCAGAGTTACGGGCCCCAAAGACCATTGGGAAGGTGCTTAGCAAAGGGGAAAGGTGAAAGAGAAAGGAAAGAAAAGGTCAAGCCCCAAAGTTGACCCCTTCCGGAAAAGGCTTGGGGGAGAAGTGAAGTGGGGGGAACCCAACGGGAAAAAACAAATCATGGAGGAACACAAAAAGAAGAGGATATCCCCAAGGGGGTAGAAACCAGGAGGGAAAGCTGGGGGGTTTAAAAGTCGAGTTGTAGTCCCTACGAAAAACCCAAGGAGGGAAGAAAGGGTGATTCGGGTAAGGTGGGATCCCCAGTAGAAATAGGATGGAAAACAGGGGGGTTCAAAAGGGAAGGGTATATACCATGTAAAAGGGACATGGCGAATGGTAGGCGGGGTCCCCGCGAGTGAGAGTATGGGGAAAAACCAAAAGGTGTGCGGGGGTGGGAAAGGGAATATAGAATAAAATGGAAAATAAAGGGAAAGAAAGATGGAAAGACTTAAAGGTCAAAAAAAGAAAAAAGAGTACGAGGACCAGATTTATCGAGGGGAAAAAGGGAGAAAAAGGGAAGGAAGGGGAGAAGTTGGTAAAACTTGGGTGATGAAAAGTTCTGATATGAAATTAACGTCATTGGAAGCCCGATAAAAAAGAAAAATGGCGACAGAAAATTTAGAAAACCCGAGACCAACATAAAATAAAAGCCCTAGAGAGAGGAAAATAGACCTTCGAGACCAATTAAAGGAACAAAAAAAGACCATCTGGAAAAAAAAAACCCCGATTCAGGGAACAATAGGGAAATCTGACCCCAAATTTACTGTTTGGGAAAAAAAGCACATCGTGGATATATTAAATTCAAAAATTTTCTCCCCTAAAATATATTTTCAAACAATTTTGCATTTGCCCTTAGGGCGGTGTTTTCCTAGGGAAAAGGGTTAAAATTAAAAGACGATCAAACCAGCCCCGTGAATAACTAGAGTGCAGTTAGTCTGTACGATAAGCCTCAATGAGTCTGCATGTAACGCCTCAATGCGTTGCTTTTCACGCCTCAATGCGTCTGCATGATATCGCATCAATGAGTGTATTGATTCCGATCAAGAGTCTGCATATAAAGCCCTAAAGAGTGTGTATGTACACGCCATCAATGGTTGCTGATACACGCATCAAAGAGTCTGCTGTACAGCCATCAATGTTCTGCAGAAAACCCCCATCAATGAGTCTGTATGATACACACATCAATGAGTCTGTTAAGACGCCTTTAAAGAGTTGTATGATGAACGCTTAATGAGTCTGTATGATAACGAATATTGAGTCTGTATGTGGGTCATCAGTGAATTTCATGATACACGTCATCAATGAGGTCTGTACGTCAACCCTCAAAGGACTGTTGATAACACCCTCAAAGGCTGTATGATAACACCCTTAAAAGCCCGTTTGATACACACCTCAAAAGTTGATGATCAAACCATCAAAGAGTCTGTATGTACACACAATGAGTTGCAGATACCAAAGATCAAGAATTGTATGTACACCTCATTGGTCTGTTGATGCGCGCATCAGGTGGGAAGGGGGGGTGTGAAAAGGAAGTTGGGAGGGGGGGGAGATGTAAGTGGGGGGGAAGGGGTGAAGGGGGGGGAGGAGTGGGGAAATTTTTAGGGAGGTTAAAATTTTTTTTAAATTTTAAAATTTTTTAAAATTAAAATTTTTAATTAAAATTTTTAATTTTAAATTAAATAAAAATAAAAATTTTAAAATTATTAAATTATTAAATTTTAATAAAATTTTTTTTTGGGGGTGTGAAGGAGGTGGGTGGGGAGTGTGGAAAAAAAGGTGGGTGGGAGTGTGTAAGAAAGGGGTGGGTGGTGAAGGGAAAGGGGGGGGTGGGAGGGTGAAGGAAGGTGGGGGGAGTGTGTGAAGGGAAAATGGGTGGGAGAGGTGAAGGAAGGTGGGGGAGTGTGTGAAGGGGTGGGGGGGGAGGTTGAAGAAAGGTTGGGGGGGGAGGGTGGGAAGGTGGGTGGGAGTGTGTGAAGGAAAGGGGGGTGGGAGGTTGTGAAAAAAGGTGGGGGGAGGTGTGAAGGAAGGGGGGTGGGGGGTGGAAGAAGGTGGGTGGGGTGTGTGAAGGAAGGTGGGTGGGAGAGTGTGAAGGAAGGTGGGTGGGGGTGGAAGAAAAAGGGGGGTGGGATGTGTGGGGGGGGTGGGGATTGGGGGGGGTGGGAGTGTGGAAGAAAAGGGGGGGGGGGGGGTGTGTGAAGGGAAAGGTGGGTGAGGGGTGGAAGGAAAATGGGGGGGTGTGTGAAGGGAAGGGGGGTGGAGTGTGTGAAGGGAAAGGGGGGTGGGGGAGTGTGAAGGAAGGGGGGGGGAGTGTGTGAAAGGGAAGGGGGGGGGAGGTGGGGGGTGGGAAAGGGGAAAAGGGGGGGGGAGAGTGTGAAGGAAAGGGGGGTGGGGGTGTGTAAGGGAAGGTTGGGAAGGGGGGGGGGGGAAAAAAGTGGGAAGGGAAGGTGGGGGGAGAGTGTGAAGGAAGGTGGGGGGGGAGGTGTGAGGAAGGTGGGTGGGAGGTGTGAAAGGGGTGGGGGGGAGGGGGGAAGGAAGGTGGGTGGGGGAAAGGGGAAGGGAAAGGGGGGAAGTGTTGGGGAAGGTGGGTGGGGGGTGTGAAGGAAGGGGGGGGGGAGAGTGTGAAGGAAGGTGGGTGGGAAGTGTGAAGAAAGGTGGGGGAGGGAAAGGGGGGGGGGGGTGGGGGGGGTTTAAGGAGGTGGGTGGGGAGGGAAGGAGGTGGGGGGAAAGGGGGTGAAGGAAAGGGGGGGGGGGTGGAAGGAAGGTGGGTGGAGAGTGGGGGAAGGAGGGGGTGGGGGAAGGGGGAAGGGGGGGGAAAAGGTGGGGAGAGTGTGAAAGGTGGGGGGGAGAGTGTAAGGAAGGTGGGAGGGGAGGTGAAGGAAGGGGGGGGAGAGTGTGAAGGAAGGTGGGGGGGGAGGGTGTTTAAGGAAAGGGGGGGGAGAGTGGAAGGAAGGTGGGAGGAGGTTTGGAAAAAGGTGGGGGGGAGGTGTGAAGGAAGGTGGGGGGGAGAGTGTGAAAGGGGGTGGGGGGAGGGTGAAGGAAGTTGGGGGGGAGAGGTGAAGGGAAGGTGGGAGGAGAGGTGAAGGAAGGTGGGGGAGAGTGTGAAGGAAGGGGGGGAAGGGTGGAAAAGGGGGGGGGGTTTTGAAGGGGAAGGGGGGAGGGGAAAGGGGGTGTGAAGGGAAAGGGGGGGGGGAGTGGAAGGAAGGTGGGAGGGAGAGTGTGAAGGGGTGGGTGGGGGAGAGTGTGGGAAGGTGGGTGGGAAAAATGTGAAGGAAGGTGGGGGGGTGGGGGAAGGGGGGGGGTGTGAAGGAAAGGGGGGAGGAGAGTGTGAAGGAAGGTGGGGGGGGGGTAAGGAAGGTGGGGGAAAGGGGGTGAAGGAAGGTGGGAGGGAGAGTGTGAAGGAAAGGGGGGAGGGAGAGTGTGAAGGAAAGGGGGGGGGAGAGTGTAAGGGAAAGGGGGGGGGTGGAAAGGGGGGGGAGTGTGTAAAGGGAAAGGGGGGGGGAGGGTTTAAGGAAGGTGGGGGTGGGTGTGGGGGGGGGAGGGGGGTGGGGGGTGGGGGGGGGTGGAAGGAAGGTGGGGGAGAGGGAAGGAAGGTGGGTGGGGGGTGTAAGGGAAGGGGGGGGGAGGTGTGAAGGAAAGGGGGGGGGAGGTGTGAAGGAAAGGGGGGAGGGGAGTGTGAAGGGAAAGGTGGGGGGGGAGATTGTGAAGGAGGTGGGGGGAGAGTGTGAAGGAAAATGGGGGGGAGTGTGGAAGGGGGGGGAAAAGGGGGGAAGGGAGGGGGGTGTTTAAGGAAGGTGGGAGGGAGAGTGTGAAGGGAAGTGGGGGGAGATGTGAAGGAAGGTGGGAGGGAGTGGAAGGAAGGTGGGGGGGAGTGTGAGGAGGTGGGGGGAGAGTGTGAAAAGGGGGGGAAAAGGGGGGGGGGGGGGGGTGTGAAAGGAAGGGGGGGGGATGGGAAATGGGGGGTGTGAAGGGGGTGGGGGAGAGTGTGAAGGAAGGTGGGGGGGGAGATGTGGGAAAGGGAAGTGGGGGGGAGAGGTGAAGGAAAAGGGGGGGAAAATGGAAGGAAGGTGGGGGGGGGGAGTGTGAAAGGAAGGTGGGGGGGAGAGTGTGAAGGGAAAGGGGGGGGGAGGGGTGAAGGGAATGGGGGGAGGTGTGAAAGGGGGTGGGGGGAGGGGTGTGAAGGGAAAAGGGGGGGGAGGGGGAAAGGGGGGGGGTGTGAAGGAAGTTTGGGGGGAGGTGTGAAGGGGGGGGAAAGGGGTGAAAGGGAATGGGTGGGGGAGTGTGAAGGAATGGGTGGGGGTGAAGGAAGGGGGGGGGGTGGGAAAGGAAGGTGGGTGGGGGGGGTGTGAAGGAAGGGGGTGGGGAGTGTGGGGAAAGGGGGGGTGGGGAGTGTGAAGAAAAAGGGGGGGGGGGAGAGTGTTTAAGAAAGGGGGGTGGGAGGGTGAAGGGGGGGGGAGGGGTGAAGGAAGTGGGTGGGGAGAGTGTGAAGGAAGGTGGGTGGGAGAGTGTGAAGGGAAAGGGGGGTGGGGGGGTGTGAAGAAGGTGGGTGGTGGTGTGAAGGAAGGTGGGTGGGGGTTTGTGAAGAAGGGGGGGTGGGAGTGTGTGAAGAAAAGGGGGGTGGGGTGTGAAGGAAAGGGGGGGGAGTGTGTGAAAAAGGGGGGGGGGTGTGGAAGGAAGGGGTTTTGGGGAGTGTGAAGGAAGGTGGGTGGAAATGTGTGAAGGAAAAGGGGGTGGGGTGTGTGAAGGAAATGGGTGGGAGGTGTAAGGAAAGGGGGGTGGGAGGTGTAAGGGAAAGGGGGGGGGAGAGTGTGAAAAAATGGGGGGGGAGAGTGTGAAGAAGGTGGGGGGGGAGTGTGGAGGTGGGTGGGAGTGTGTGAAGGTGGTGGAGGGGTGTGAAGGAAGGGGGGGTGGGAAAGGGAAGGGAAAATGGGAAGGAAGGTGGGTGGGGGTGTGAAGAAGGGGGGGGGAGAGTGTGAAGGAAGGTGGGTGGGGGGGAGTGTGAAAAAGGGGGGGGGGGGTGTGAAGGAAGGTGGGGGGGAGGGGGGAAAATGGGGGGAAAAAATTTGGGGAAAGGGGGGTGGGAGGTGTGAAAAAAAGGGGGTGGGAAAGGGGTGAAGGAAGGGGGTGGGGGGTGTGAAAAAGGTGGGTGGGAGTGTGTGAAGGAAGGGGGTGGGAGTGTGTGAGGAAAGGGGGGTGGGGGTGTGAAGGAAAGGGGGGTGGGAGTTTGGGGGAAGGAAGGGGGGGGGAGGGGAAAGGAATGGGTGGGGGTGGGAAAGGTGGGAGGGAGAGTTTGGAGGAAGGTGGGAGGGAAGTGTGAAGGGAAAGGGGGGGGGAAATGTGGGAAGGGGGGGGGAGTGTGGAAGGGGGTAAAAGGGAAAAGGTGGGTGGGACGTGTGAAGAAAGGTGGGAGAGTGTGAAAGGGGGGTGGGAGAGTGTGAGGAAAGGGGGGAGGGGGGGAGTGTGAAGGAAGGTGGGTGGGAGGGAAATTGAAAGGGAAAGGGGGGAGGGGGGGTGAAGGAAGGGGGGGGGGGAGAGAGGACGGAAGAGGGAGGGGAAAATGTGAAGGAAGGTGGGTGGGAGAGTGTGAAGGGAAAGGGGGGGTGGGAGAGTGTGAAGGAAGGTGGGGGGAAAATGTTGAAGAAAGGGGGGTGGGAGGGGTGTGAAGGAAGGTGGGGGGGGTGTGTGAAGGAAGGTGGGTGGGGGGGGTGTGTGAAGGAATGGATTTAGGGGTGGGTGGGGAGGTTGGAAGGAAGGTGGGTGGGAGGTGTGAAGGAAGGTGGGTGGAGGTGTGGAAGGAAGGGGGGTGGAGGTTTTGAAGGAAAAAGGGGGGGAGGGTGAAGGAAGGTGGGGGGAGAGTGTGAAGGAAGGTGGGTGGGGGGTGTGGAAAGGGGGGTGGGGGTGTGAAGGGGGGTGGGTGGGAAATGGAAGGGAAGGGGGGGGGGGTGTGAAAGGGGGGGGGGAGGTGTGAAGGAAGGCGGGGGGGGTGTGAAGGAAGGGGGTGGGAGGGGGTGAAGGAAAGGGGGGGGGAGGTGGAAGGAAGGTGGGTGGGAGGGGGGAAAATGGGGGGAGGTTTTGGAAGGGAGGGAAAATGTGAAGGGGAAAGGGGGGTGGGAAAAGTTGAAGGAAAGGGGGGTGGGGGGGGGTGAAGGGAAAGGGGGGTGGGGTGTGAAGGGAAAGGGGGGTGGGAGTGTGGAAGGAAGGTGGGGGGGGTTTGTGAAGAAAAGGGGGGTGGGGTGTTGAAGGGAGTGGAGGTGTGAAGGAAGGGGGGTGGGAGAGTGTGAAGGAAGGTGGGGGGGAGGTGTGAAGAAGGGGGTGGAGTGTGTGAAGGAAGGTGGGTGGGGGGTTGTGAAGGAAAAGGGGGGTGGGAGTGTGTGAAAGGAAGGGGGTGGAGGTGTGAAGGGAAAGGGGGTGGGGGTGTGAAGGAAGGGGGTGGGAGAGTGTGAAGGAGGTGGGTGGGGGGTGAAAAAGGAAAGGTGGGTGGGGGGTGTGAAGGAGGGGGGTGGGGTGTGTGAAGGGGGGGTGGGAGGTTGGGAGGGAAGAGGGGTGGGAGGTTGAGGGGGGGGGGGGAGGTGTGAAGGGGTGGGTGGGGGGTTTTTGAAGGAAGGTGGGGGGGAGTGGGGGTGGGTGGAGGTGTAAAAAGGTGGTAGGGATTTAAGGAAATTAAAGGTAAGAAGTTGGGGGGGAGGGGTTAAGGAAGGTTGGGAAATTTTAAAAAATTAATTTTAAAATGGGGTAAAATTTGGGAATGGGGGGGGGTTAAAAAGGTTTTTGGGGGGGAAATAAAAGGGGGTTGGGGGGGGGGGTTTTAAAGGGGGGGGGTTTAAGAAAAGGGGGTTGTTGAAAGGGAAGGGGGGGAAGTTAAAAGGGGGTTTAAATTTTGAAGGGATGGGGGGGTAATTGGGAAGGGGGTGGGATGTTTAAAGGAAAAATTGGAAAAGGGAAATTTTTTGGAAAAAGGGGGGTGGGGGGGAAGAATTAGGGGGGGGGTTTAAATGGGGAATTAAAAATGGGGGAATTAAAACAAAGGGGGGGAAAAATTGGACGGGTGGGGAATTGAAAAAAGGGAAAAATTTTTTAGTTGTAAAAAGTTTTTTTAAAGAATTTTTTTTTACAATGGGTGGGGGTTTGGAAGGAAAAAAGGGGGGGGAATTTTAAGGGGGGGAAAAATTTATTTTATGTTAAAAAAAAGGGGGGGGGGTTTTTTAAAAAAATTAAAAATTAAAAAATTTTAAAGATTTAAAAATTGGGGGGTTTTAAAAAAATTTAAATTTAGGGGGGGGGGTTTTTTTGGGGTTTTGGGGGAAAAAATTAATTTTAAAAAATTTTTTAAGTTGTTACACAGCTATATTACTGATACTACTATTAATAATAATAACCCTAATTCTTAATTTACCCACATACAGAAAAAAAAAATATATATTACAATACTGAAAATTAGTGAGCCAGGAGAACATTCAAGATATTTTTTTGAAGAATATAAATATTTTAGTGTAATACAGTGAAAACCAGATCTCAAAATTTTAAAGAGAATTGATCTCCTACTCACACCTGAGGTGGGAACTTCATTACAGTATGAAGGAACACGCAGAAAGTGGGAAGTCAAATACAGGAGGAAAGCACTTATACTTCCTATGTCTAAGTCAAATATAGGAAGAGGGAACTTCAACATAGGCAAAGTCAAATATAGGAAGATTTACTTCAACATATCGAAGTGTAACTCAAATACAGGAAGAGGGAACTAAAACTACATTAAGGGGGAACTGGACACATCGCAGGGATGGGGGGGATTCAGAACTCTGGAAGCGGGAATTGAAATGCAGGAAGTGGGAAGTCAAATCACAGGCAGCGGGAATGTAAATACAGGAAGGGGACACTCAAAATTACCGGAAGCGGCAACTCACGGGAAGTGAGAACGCAAAACAAAGACAGAAATCAGAGATTTAAGTCATAAACAAAGACAATCAACAACAGGGAGCCAGAATCACAACGGCACAAAAACACCTACCTTTACATAATTGAATTTTTTTTGTCCATTTTGTTCATTAATGGAACTGATTTACTGGCTAATTAGAGAAGCAAATATAGTACATAACACAATCATATCCGAGCGGCGCCAAAAAAAAAAAAAATTTAGTTCACCATTATTTGTTGAAAAAAAAATGAAAAATGTTTAATTAAAATCAACTCAAAATATATATTAAAAAATTTATAAAACGTATTCCTGAGGAAATAAAATTTAATCGAATTTCAGATAATAACGATACTAAATAAAATATACTTAAATTTCAGATTATCCACAGAGATTTAAGGACTATTTTTCTGTTGTTTTTAATAATAATAATCATAATAATAATATTATTATTATTATTGATAAATAAGACATGTGTAGCAGTTTAAATTAAAAGACGATGTAATCAATCCATCACCCCTCGAAGACGTAGTTGTGAGGAGTCACCCTCTTCGAAGGTGATGGATTGATCCTTCTTTACAACTCTACTGCTTATGCTGCCGCCTCTATATTTGAGTGAATTAGCCTACTGTGAAGGCAAAACGTTTCGGAATAAAGATACCTAACTGTGGCACATGTGTCTTATCAACTTGTCGGTATTGTATACCTTTATTATTTTCACATTAGTATTATTATTGTTGTTTTTGATAGTGCTATTATTTTCTTATATCATTTTATTATTTTATCATTTATAAATAACATTATTCTTATTAGTATTATAAGTATTATATATTACTTATTAGAATTACTATTATTTTAATTATATTATATATTTAGTCATAGGGAAGTGCTACAGCGTACAGGAATAGAGATGTAATCAAGTTTGATCCGAGGAAATGGATGGCACTTCCATTTCCTTAGGTAAGAGCCTTCTTCCCCAACATCAGGGTACCTACTTACTTGAAGAGATTAATAAAGATGACAAAACTCTAGCGACAAACGCAACCTGCAAATAAAGTTGAGTGTTTTTCAGTTTTAGTCTTGAGGACTTATTTTTTCGTGTTTAATACAGTTGAACTTGAAATAAAGAGAGCCTTATGTACGTTAGTGTTAGTGTTAGTGTGTGTGTGTGTGTGTGTGTGTGGTGTGTGTGTGTGTGTGTGTGTGTGTGTGTGTGTGTGTGTGTAGCATTAATTTATGCCCTCTGTGTCCCCCATCTGTCTACATCCCGCCAGCTGCGTCCATCTGTATATCACCAGCACCGACGATTGCCACTATCACCACTAGTTTATTATTTAACTACCACCATAGTCCGAATACCAGCACCAGTAACACCATCACGTCCAGGAAAAGAGGCTACGAACACAGAGAGCAGGGTAGGGGAAGCTGTAAAAATGGGAGGTGAAAGGGAGGGGAAATATAAGATGGAAGG